GAGAGCGCGGGCCGGGCTGGCGGAGGAGCGAGGCCCCTACCTGAGTTGAGGCTGCCCTCCTTGAGGCTGGACGAGCTCAGGTAGTCGTCCTTGCACACGAACTTGTTCTCGTCGATGACGTAGAGCTCCTCGCCCGTGGACAGCTGCTTGTTGCACACCATGCAGGTGAAGCAGTTGAGGTGGAAGACTTTGCTGCGGGCCTTGCGCACCAGGTCGCTGGGCGAGATGCCTTGCGCGCAGCCCGCACACTTAGTGCCAAAGCGCCTGCCGACATAGCACAGCTCGTCACCGGGCAGCCTGGTGGCCCGTCCTCGCCAGCCCCCGACCTCTTCCCACCCTCCCCGGCTTCTGAGAAGCCTCCACTCTGTCTCTGTCCAATGAGACCCACTGCTGTGCTCTCCGGCTGAGCACAAGGAGACCAGCGTCCCCGGCTCTTCTTGGGGCTGGGACCGCCATGTCCTGTTCAGGTTTATTTGGACTCCACTGGGCTTAGAGCAATGGGCATAGCCTTCAGCCAAGCAGAGGACCCAGAGCACCCCAAGATGCTCCCTGTACCCCCACATCCATCTGGGATGCTCAAGGTGAACTCGCCTCTCCAGGCTAGGAAGGCTTTTGAGGCAGGCAGGCAGGGTTTGGACCCCTTCTTGGCTTTGCCTCCTGGGTCGTTTGGCCTGGTTGGCGGGATCCAGCCATTGGCGGGGAGCCCTTCTCCTGAGCAGGACCCAGGCAGAGAGGAGGGAGCCTTCTGCCCATTCCCAGCACCGCCAGCGCCTAGGGCTTCCCAGTCCCACTGTGGGATGCAGCACAGCTAGTCAGGAGCCTGGGGGACCAGTGGACTCCAAGAACCAGGGACTGAATCTCCATCCCCCCAAAATCTCTGACCCTGGTAGGCAGCGGGAAATGAAGGCAATCCAAACCTGCCTGGCCAGCACTCGGAATGCTCACCCCCACACCCCCGCCCCCCAGTGCCCGAATTCCTGGCCTAAATCCTTTTCTTAAGGCCAGCCTCCTCTGAGTGGGAGAGGTGCAGGGACTTGGGGAGGGAGCGGGCCGGGACTTTGGGCCCCACATCTGCTCACACCCAGGCCTCTAAACGGCGAATTTGGGTGACGTTGATGTAGTGAGGGCATTAGAAGCCATAAGTCACTTTTGGTCTTATCCGGCCGCGTAATTGGCCATATGTACCTTATCAAAAATCATTAGGCGCTTTGCAAGCCCCGCCACATCAGGGCCTGGGTTCTCCAGGCGGGGAGTTTACACGTGTAAAGGCGAGGCTGACATTTTCTCCTATTCAGATTCCCCAGGCTGAGCAGCTGGGGCTGGGGGCTGGGGGCTGGGGGCAGGCTTGCTCCTCCGCGTTAATCACGCCCCCTTGCCCGGGCGCCGGAATTCGCACTCACAAAGCCGCTCTCCAGGGCGGGTGGAAGCTGAGCTGCTGCAAACCCCACAGCCTTCCAGGCCACCCCTGAGCATTTCCCAGCTGGGGAAACTGAGGCCCAGAGCAGTGGTCATCCCCAGCCCGCCTGAGGGCCCCGGTGGGCAGCAAGGGGAGGTGACATGGCCTGGGACCAGACCCTGGAGGTCCTGATTCTCAGCTTGGATTTCCTTGGTACTTTTCAACATGGGAGAGAATATTCACGGAGTTGGGGTGAAGGGATGAGAAGGTAAAGGGTCCCTCCCCCAAACATCGGAGGAAACGCTCCTGGCCGAGCCCCCGGGCGCTGGGAAGCTGCTGTTTGTCCAGCAGGGCCCTGGGGCCGCCTGCCCGCCTCCTGGCAAATGCAGTCTGTCTGGTGGGAGAAGCCTCCAGCCACCACGAACTTTGCAAAAATCCTTCCTCTCTCAGACTCGGGCCTGACGCTTCCACCCTGGAATTGCAGCCGCTGGAAGGGGTAGGGTCGGGCGGGGAGTAAGTTGGTCAGAGCTTCCTCCCCCAGGGAACCTCCGGTCCCAGCCCGCCGGGAGGAGCAACCGCGAGGCACCTTCCGTGTTGCTCCGCCGGGGCTGCGGCCCTTTCCTTGACCAAGGACAGCGGGGAGCAGTGGCCGGGCCCTTCCAGGCTGCTGAGCCGGGGAGGCGGTTTCCCCTTCGCCGGCGCCCGCGGGGCGCGCAGGCCGGGCGCGCAGGCTGCGGGCCTCTTACCTGAAGAAGTCATTTTTGCAGTAGAGCTTGCCCTCGCGCGAGAAGCACTTCTCGGAGAGGTTGGTCTTGCAC